GGCAAGCGTGCGTCAACATCAGACGTCTCGTCCCGGATTGTGATTCACGGAGGCGTTTCTCGGCGGCCACATGAGCTCCGGGATGGCCGGATCGGTCCTCCTCCGCCGCGCCGGCGCTGGCGCCAACCGCCTCTTCGCCACCACCGCGACGTCCCCGGGGGCCAAGACCTCCCTTGTCGGCGGCAAGGGCGCGTTGCTGCGGATGATGTCCACTTCCGCGGCCTCGTAGGTGGTCAAGGCGGAGGCGGCCAAGGGCGATGGTTAGAAGAAGGAGGTGGCGATCAGCAGCTACTTGGGGGATCGAGCAGTCGAAGAAGCTGGTGCGTGAGGAAGGCACCGAGTGGAAGTGGTCTTGCTTCAGGGTACGCTCTTCCCTTGCTTCCTCTGCTCTACTTTTCCTGTTTCGGTTCCGTCGCCGGCGACGGGTCGCCAGATGGGAGCGCGCGTGCGGTCGATGTGCGCTGTAATTTTATTTACTTGTTGCGCCGCTGTTGTTTGTGATTCATTAGTTGGTTTCACTGCGGCAGCCATGGGAGGCGTACAGCGCAGACATGTCGATCGATCTGACCAAGCACCATGTGCCCAACACGATGCTCGACAAGATCGCCTACTACACCGTCAAGTCCCCGCGCTTCCCCACCGACATCTTCTTCCAGGTACGCATGCTTCCTGGTGTGGCGCCCCTGCTACATTCACGAGTGCAAGCGTCACGTGGCCGTGAGCAGGCCAGTTCCACGCCAACAAGATGAACCTGGGCACTGCAACTACCTAAGTGAACGCACAATTCTTCTTCCTGATTCGATTTGGTGTTGATTTGATTGATTCCTAACGCATCTAATTCTTCTTCTCAGGTACTCTTCTGTTAATGAACTTCCTCCACACCTGTAGTGACAAGAAAACACTGAAGAAGTGGTTCTTCATCGACAAGACAGTTGGCTAAGAAAATCCAGCTGAAAGAGAGACAACCATCGTACCTGCCTGAGAAAGATCTTGCTTACAGTGCATGGATGCTAAGGTTTGTTTCATGATTCAGTTTTGGGTTATGTAGTAAGCAGTAGTCTAGTTACAATGCGTCTTCTGAAGAAAGACATGCAGATATCCGTCTTGTGTTGCATGCCTATGAAGCGTATCTATTGTCAATGCTATCCGTCTTGGCACCTGTCTTCTCGCCTGGCCCTGCATGTGGTATGCTTGCTAGTTCCTTCTACTGGCATCCCCATCTCTCACCACCATTGCGTAGATAGATTAGCAGGATCAGCTCACTGGAGACTACTAGAGAGCATACCGAGCTCACATTTTCAGATTTGCTGTGTGCATAAGCAGATTTTACTTAAAAGCTCCCTGTAACCTTTTGTTTCATTGGTCAATCACGATAGCAGTGATGTCGGGGGAGCTCCCCTACACACCTATGCATTCTAATGGTCACATACATGTATCTAGTTCTCCTCATAAAATATTTGCATGCATGAAAAAGCTCTAACGCGTACACTATCATGCTTACTTAGATTAGAAGCATTCTGTACAAGACAAACTACTATATGCTAGTCTTACTTACACTCTGTGTGGGGCACTCTCATTTAAGTTTCTAGCATGTTAAATTTAACATTCTAATATATTTCTTTGAAACAATAGTCTAGCAGAACTTATTAACTTCATTTTTCTAAAATAGATAATACATATTGAATTATTCATATTAATCTAAAATAATAACCAAACAACTACAGGACTGTGCATTAGTAGCATGCATGTGTGACTTTGTTTTTGGTGTGTTCTGCTTGCAGGTCATTGTTATGAAGGCCCCACAAGAAGGCGTGGGGGATTTGGCACAAGGCCGGTGATCGAGTCTATGCTCTCTCCTCCATGGAAAGACCTATGTTCAACTTGCTTGAATGAACAGTGTGTGTGGAACAGATTCTTGTCTGAATTCTCTTCTTGTGGGAGTATGAACTTGCTTGTAGTATCTTGGAGTATCAACTTGGAGCATCTGGTTAGAGTAGCATCTTGCAACACATTCGATTACTCCAGTACTGATAGTTACAGTAGCATCTTGAAAAATGGAGTAGTTAGAGTAGCATCTTCGATTAACTAAATTGATGATTACTGCTGTTAAATTGGGACTTGCAAGCAGTAGTTCCCTCTTCTTATCTCTTCTCTCTTGCAGTAGTTGTTGTAGTAGTAGTTTCTTGCAGTAGTTTAGTGTACGATTTGTCTTTGGTGGAGTATTTCTTGAGCTGTGTTGTATTTCCTGTGACTAAATAGTGAATCTAGTTACAACAAAGCATGCCAGTACTTGTCTTTGGTGGAGTAGTTTGACAGTGAGGATCAGTGATGTTCCCAATTAATTTGGTGTAGTTTTGATAGTTAGAGTAGCATGTTGGAGTAGGGTAGTCCACATTTGTCTACATTAGACCAGATTATTCCGATTAGTCCACATTTCATATTATTCTTGGAGCAATGTACTATAGCAGCAGTACTGTACTGTAGCAGCAACATGAGTAAACTGAATACTCCTTCATATGCTTGGTTCCTTCTTATTCTTCCTCAGATTGTGAAAATGGATTCACTCCTTCTTATGCACTGCACTGTACTGTAGTATAGGTCATCTTTGAATTAATACTCCAAAATTTATTAGTATTGGAGGATTGATTGTTTCCAAATCAATACTCCTGGGCATCATTCATGGCTGTCTAGTAGTCGACATACTTCTGGTTCCATTTAGTGTATGCAGGTAGCAGCAGCTTAAGTGTAATGGAGTTGTTTTGTTACTCTATGCCTACTTAGTTAGAGTTGGCACCATCTCCTTGTCGTTTATAGCATAAACGCCTTCACTATTCTTGCTCTGAACCTCTGATCCTGATGCTGATTGTATTTGTCTTGATGGAATAACATGCAACATGGTGACTCTAGTGCAGGTAGCGTTGGCCATCCTCTTCGAGGTTGTGTTTAGGTGATAACTCGGGTAGCCATGACACTACTCTGGCTGATTAGTACCCAGTGGCATGTTTGTAATATTTATATGCATTTTACTTGTAGAAATAATGCTCACGGTATATTTATATGTCCTGCAGCGCATGCTCCTTTTCGGTCTGTAAAGAATGTTGATATGGTGTTTTGGCAGCTGTGATATTAGATTGCACTTCTTTATGTGATTTACTCATGTTGGTACTACTTGTTAAGTGATTGCTCTGTAACTTGTCTTTCTCGGAACAGTTTGCTTGGTCTTTCATATCTGACTATGTAATGTAGAAGCTCTACTTTATCCTAATAGTTGCATGTAGCATTGTGCTACTATCTGTGTGATGCTAAACAATATGCTCTTAATCTGTTGATATATTCTCAAGTGTTGTTCACCATTTACATTGTTTTTACATTTTCTATATTCACAAATAGTAGTAGTGTCTGGTCTAGATAATCTGTAAATTTTGTTGTCTTGTTGATAATGCCATATATCCTAAGCAATGATATTACATTTCTGTTTGTATGGTAATATAAAAAATATTGATGTTGTCATAATTTTCATTGTGTGTGCCTTTCATTTCTTTATTTTGATTGTTTCCCTTGTATTCTATATGCTTCTAATGGTCGATCCTTTCAATGACAGGTGTTGTGTTCTAGAAGATGAAAGAGGAAGAAAATTTATTTTTGTTGAACTAAATTTTTTGTATTCTGTTTTGTTGTACATATGATTTGATAGTTTTGTATAGGAACATGTGATACTATTTTGTAGGGCTTTATGGCCTGTGATGTAAACATATTTAGTGATGAATTATGAAATTATTTGCAAAATTTATTGAAAAGGAGAATCATTTGTATGAATATGGGTCGCATATATGTGAATGGGCTGAAAAGTATACTGGACCAACTCCAAGATTGAATTATTATTTGACTGTATAAAAAGGATGAATGTAAACAAGAAAATGGGCTGCACAAAATAGTACCTATATTATTGAAAGGCCAAACGTGCATAGAAGTTGATGGGCTGAATAGTAGGGCTTGGCCCATGAAGCTAACAAAAATTGACATAAAAAATACACTAAATTGGCTGAATTAATGGGCTCGGCCCATATAAACACCCAATTGGACCGGGCCGATTCTAATTTTTGACCTTTTGAATTGGTCGTAATTTTTCCACGTCAGATTGCCACGTCGGATCCAACGTGGCCTGGGCAGACAGCTAGTGACCAAAACAAAAGGTCATGGGTTCAACGACCTTCTGTTTTGGTCGTAAACGTCTATGACCTTCTCACAGAGAAGGTCGCTATAGTCAGTTGACGACCGCCATCTTTTGACCTTTTGTTTTTGGTCACAAGAAGGTCGCAAATGAAAAACCATGACCTTTCAGTGACTAATAGTGGTGGTCACAAGTTGACATATTTCTTGTAGTGTATGCATAGGGGTTGATGCACGTTTTTATTATCTTTTCTCTGATAGAAACTTTTGGGTCTCCTTGTAGTTCTTTGTGTGGATTCAATACTATGATCATGAAGTTGTTTGATGCATATCATAGAATTAACCCATGGATACTTGTGGTGACATTGGAGTATCTAGGTGACATTAGAGTTGGTTGATGTGTGTCATATGGTGTTATTTTAGTACAAACTCTTGGTTAGATTGATCGAAAAGAATAGCTTTGTGTTATTTTAGAACAAAATCTAGGATAGATTGATCGAAAGAATAGCTTTGAGGTGGTTTCGGACCCTACAAATAATTTCTATCTTTTGTTCTCCGCTAACAGGAACTCGGTAGTGATTCTTTATTGCACTTTGAGGGATACTTATATGATCCAACTATGTTATCATTGTTGATTGATTGCCCTAGTGAAAGTATGCACCCTTGGCCTCATTTTCCATCAATACCATTTGTGCTTCATTTTACTATTTACTACCTTGCTATTTTTTTATTGTTCGCACTACAAAAACTCATATCTACTATACATACTACACTTTTATCACCATCTCTTCGCCGAACTAGTGCACCTATATAGTTTACCATTGTATTGGGTGTGTTGGGGACACAAGAGGTTTCTTGTATTTGATTGCCGGGTTGCTTGAGAGAGACTATCTTCATCCTATGCCTCCCATGGATTGATAAACCTTAGGTCATCCACTTGAGGGAAAATTGCTACTGTCCTACAAAACTCTGCGCTTGGAGGCCCAACATGAGTCTGCAAGAATAAAGTTACATAGTAGACATCACTGCTGCAAGGGAAATGGTCACTGGAACCGGACTGCCCCAAATATTTGGCGTGTAAGAAGGATGGCAAAGTGAACAAAGGTATATTTTATATACATGTTATTGATGTGTTCCTTACTAATGATCATAGTAGCTCCTAGGTATTTGATACTAATTCGGTTGCTCATATTTGTAACTCGAAACAGGAGCTGCGGAATAAAGGAAGATTGGCTAATGACGAGGCGATGATGCACATCGGGAATGGTTCCAAGGTCAATGTGATCGCCGTCGGCACGCTACCTCTACATCTACCTTCTGGATTAGTTTTACACCTCAACAATTGTTATTTGGTGCCAGCATTGAGCATGAACATTATATCTGGATCTTGTTTATTGCAAGACAATTATTCATTTAAGTTAGAGAATAATGGTTGTTCTATTTTTATGAATAATATCTTTTATGGTCATGCTCCTTTGATGAATGGTCTGTTCTTGTTGAATCTCGATCATAGTGACACACATATTCATAATATTGATGCCAAAAGATGCAAAGTTGATAATGATAGTGTAACATACTTGTGGCACTGCCGTTTACGTCATATTGGTATAAAGCGCATGAAACTCCATGTAGATGGACTTTTGGAATCACTTGATTATGAATTATTTGATACTTGTGAACCATGCCTCATGGGCAA